CGACTATAAGCTTAGTAGCCAACAAAAAGCATACATAAGGCAACTAAATTTTAGTTGTCAAAAATAATCAAACATTTGGTGAATAAAATATTTTGTAGCTGAAAAACAAAAAACTTTTTCTGACTAAAAGTTTAGTAGCAAAAACTGTGTGGCTAACTAAACAAGTTTACCTACTAAAATTTTAGTAGCAAAATTTTAGTAGAAAAAAAAAAAAAAAAAATCAAACTTTTAACGACAGAAAGATTAGCAGCCAAAAATAATCCAACATTTGGCGACTAAAACTTTTTGTAGCCAAAATCTTTTTTATGAAGAACAAAAACACCTTTGTCGACTATAATTTTAATAGCGAAAAATGTGACACTTTAGGCGACTAAACTTTTAGTAGCTAAAACACAATTACACTTTAAGTGACTAATATATTTATTAGATAAAAAAAATAATAGGACAACCCAAAAAAAAAATTTGGTGACTAAATCTTTAGTTGTTGGATATGAATAAGGTTTTTGGCGACAAAAAAAATTTAGTTGCTAAAAAGTGATATTTAATTTTATTTCAAGGCTTTTGGCTACTAAAAAATTAGTCGGCATTTGTAGGTAATTGGCGACTAAAATAATTTTAATCGCCAATTACTTTCCCTGACAATTTTTCAGTGACGAATTTTGCAACTAAAGATTTTGGTCGCTAAAGAGTTTGGGCAACTAAAATATGGCTTTTGGCAACTAAAAATTTAGTTGCCAAAATTGTAAATTCTTGTAGTCCATCAAGATGAATTTTATTACAAAAATGGCATTTGTTGTATATATTATGTAAGAATAGAGTTCCTCATTTTATGGGGATATAAGGATGGCAGCCGTGATGACATTTAGCCACCATCACCACTCCTCAACCACAATCACTACCCCATACCACATTGTCTCAAATCAATCTCTTGTGAAGATTTTAAAATGTGTAAAGAGCATGTGTATCATAGCCACAGGGACAATCATGTAATTTTGACTATTTCAATTATCAATTCTCAAGTTAGTTTGTTGAGATTGATTGTTTGTCGAGATAAATAATGAAACACTAATTAATAAAGTAAGAAAATTCAAGTTAAATAATAACGAATGGTCACTTAGGGATCCGAATCCACCTCTAGTTTCATATCTGGAATTCTCATCTTAGACTGCACGAAATGATAGATTGAAACTGTCACGACCCCAAAATAATTACTATAATCCAACTCCAAACACTAGTACAAAGTGATATAAATAAAATAAGAAGCTTTCATTAATTAGAGTTAATATACAAAAGGTGACACATACGATATACATTCATAAATCATTCATCTTGAATCTACAGCATGTGTTACAAGAAGTAATAAGGAATGAAAGCTAAACAGATACTCGTATGCCCTAAGGGCTTATATCTTTCCAAGACCGTGCTTGGCTACAACAAAGTGAGTCATAAGCTCAGCACAAATAAAGCCCTAGGCTCGAAAAAAGGGTAAATACAAAATAAACAAAAGTGAGCCTTCAACTGCATAGTCCTCCCAAGCTAAGTCCTTGGCGGAGGCATATCACCAGCACCTAAAAATGATTTTTCTCAAGTAGGGTGAGCCAAACCCTAGTAGAAACAATATAACACAATATATGAATCATTACAAAGATATAAATATGAGATGCTTATTCAACGCCCATGATAAAATCATTTATAACTCTTTTGTAAAACCTTGCCAGACCAAGCGTTATATCTCAATTCATATTATCTTAATTTGTGAGTCATTCACCATTTTATCTCATTTCATGAATCATTCATCAATTCATTCAAACTACTAAACTAGAGATACAACTCAGTGGGTTTCTAACCAACACAACCATTATACAAACACTTCCATTTTGCCATTTTACAGATATTTTGGCCCCAGGAATTAGCATCCATGTATGCGCACAGTTTTCGGGACTTTCACCCTAGACACACAAGCCAACTTAATTTAATTGAGTCCAACTCCTTTCTTCTCCCAAACATGGAGTATATCCCCTTTCTTCTCCCGTACATCATACATTTATAATGTATTAAAATTTAGTCATATTCAATGACAACGGATAAGAGATTAGTTTCAATTCACCCAGTCCTTATGTAATTTTTACAATAATCATAGCTATCCTCCACCAATAGCCCAAAATGGATATTTCTAAATAGATATACAATCCTCAAGACAGATAAATTATACAAATTTTCCATAGGTGAGAGGTAATGCATACCCAACTCCACCATTTATATAAACATCTATCCAATTTCATATTCCCAATGCCAATTTCATATTTTTATACTAAATAACCATTTGAGGCAATTAGGGCAAAATTCCTTTTTCTTCCGAAATCCATCTCGGGTATCAAAATCAACGAATTTACCATAACACAACCTCACATCTACTCCCATAACCAATTTGAATACATACATTTGAAAACCCCTATTTTGATTTTAAACCAAAGCCCCAGGTTTGTTCAAAATCACCCCAAGTTACAATATTTCTTATACATCAACAAATAACTAAGTTAAAACTCATAGAAGAGTGTAGAAAGTCCCTACCTCAAGCTTCGAAGACCAAGGAAGCAATTGGAGAACTTCAAAGATGCTGAAACTAAGTTTTGTTCGAACCAAAATAGAGCTCTTGAGATGCTCTAGCTTTTTTCCAAAGACTCTAGGGTCAAAAACCCAACAGATCTAGGTGTTTAGAAGATCGAATATGAGTTTTAGAGAGAGAAATTGAAGATCTAGGGTTTTGGAATGTTTTAGAGAGAGAAAGACATGAAGAAGTGATGTAGAAGGGGGCTACTGTGAACTGATATATGCATAGTCCACTCGAGCACAAGAAGTGACGCTTGAGCTTCAAACAAAATAAGTTGTTCTGCTCGAGTGCAAGAAGGGCCACTCGAGCGGAGAATGCACACTCCTAATAGTTTTGCAGACAACAGACCAATGCTCAAGTGCAAGAAGTGTCGCTCGAGCAGAGGCCGCTCGAGTGCAGAAAGAACCGCTCAAGCATAGAATACACTCTCCCAGTAGTTTTGTAGACATACAAAAGTACTGAGAGTTCACAAAGCCCGCTCTAGTGCAAGAAGCGCCGCTTAAGTAGATGAGCAAAATACTGAGCAACAACCGTTTGAAAAGTAAGCAACCAACCTGTTCCAACCACAACAATCCAATGCCAAATTAAAGAAGTATAAGGGAAGCAAGACATGAACAACAACAGGTAACTATAAACCCTGAGTACGGAATACAAAATGGGTCAGGTTTAAACCAGAATCACTCTAGGAACAAGCTAATCTCTCAACTGCAAGTAGAAAACTAAAAAAGAAGTGAATGTTTTGTACGAAGCAATGAATTGTCCACTCTAAATTAGGATTTATCGCACAATCTATCTAGTGAGAGAATAACATGTCTTAAGTTCCCAACACAACAACAATGAAAATTAAAGTGAAACATTCATTCGTAATCACAAAAATTAAATGAAAAGAAAAGATAGAAACAAGTTTATTCAAAAATTGAAAAGTTTTACAATTGATTCCAATAAAAAGATGCAATACGAAGCTCTCTAGATGAAAAATTGATTACTTGAATAGGGTTTCATCAAAACCAGGGGTATGACGTTTAGTCACTCATGGAGGTAGGAAGGAGTGATAAAGAAGTGGGGAGATGGTGAATCCCATGTATGTGCAAGTGTTGTTTCACCTCTAGCCCTTGTTGCCTTGCTGTGGAATCTCTCAGAAGGTATTCGAGCACACACGACAGTTCAAACCCCCGATATGGTTTCATGACCACTACTACAAAAACAGATAAAGATCACACTTTTTTTGTGTGATGTTTGTTATTTAATCACACCTTTTAAGTTTTATTGAAGTGTGATCTTTGGGAGTGTGATTAAAAAGGGTCATTTTTAATCACACCTTTTATGTGTGATTAAAAACATTTAGATCACGCCTTTTAAGTGTGATTAAAAACTAATAAAACCTGTGATAATAAACTTTAAATCACACCTTTTAAGTGTGATTAATAACATTTAGATCACACATTTTAAGTGTGACTAAAAACATTTAGATCACATTTTTTAAGTGTGATTAAAAACTAATAAAACTGTGATAATAAATTTTAGATCACATCTTTTAAGTGTGATTAAAAATATTTAGATCACATCTTTTAAGTGTGATTAAAAACTAATAAAACCTATGATAATAAACTTTAGATCACATCTTTTAAATGTGATTAATAACATTTAGATCACATCTTTTAAGTGTGATTAATTAGTAAAAAGATTCGACATATTTGAAGAATAATCAATATTATTTTTGTACGTGCATTTCAAGAATGTAATACACACTATATACTATACTTTGAATCATAACCACATATTCAATGGAATAGCGCCATATATTTCATAAATGAAAGTTAAATATGTTCAAAAATATATACAAATGAATTAAATAAAAAAATTTAAACTGTGCTTACATAGATTGAAAAATAAAAATAAAAAAATCTTGAAAAATTAAGTCCTTGAATTCTTTGATCATATTTTGCATCTCTCCAAGAAATTTCTAACCTGAAAAAAAAAACACAAATTAATTCAACAACTCGGATGAAAAGCCACACCAAACTAAATTAAATAAATTAAATTAAACTAATGATTGACTTACAATGACAAAGAGATCCCAACAAATGTCAAATATAGTCGGATTATTATAGGGCAGCCACATAAAATCGGGCAAATGAAGTCACTATCTAAAACTTTCATAACAGATTAAAGAAGCATGAAGCTTAAATACACTTCATTTGACTTTGCATTTGCAATTCCCATGAAGGGCTGCTAAAAGGGTTAATTATGTAATGATGCCCCCAGAAACCACCAATCCATCAAATAATATAAACCTTTACATATAGTAAATAAGTAAGAATTTCACATTATGATAACGAATACTAATAAGCTGAGAAAAGATTGCAATCTGCATAACCCGCCCAAGATTTGATGATCAAATTTACCCACCCAGAAACAAAACCATCATCTTGGTGATCAAACCAATAGGGAAACAAATCTAATCATCGTCTCATTCTCTCGAGCAACTTTCTTAAGAATAAAATCTTTGCACGTCTCACAAATATTAAAATGCACAAAGTAATCGTTTGGTGTTTTTCATACAATTAGTCATGATGCAAACAAGGATGGATCCACATCTCCAAAAATTTGAAAAATATCAAATATTATACTGAAAATTTTAAAATAATTTAAAATTATAAGGCCCCAAACATACTTTCGCACCCTAATCCATGATCCGTCCATGATGCAAAAGCCAGAAATATTGCATAATATTCTAAAAGCCAGAGCATTTAAGAATAAATAGAACAATGTAAAGATAAACAAACACGATGGTTGGATTTAAAGAGAATGATCAGATAGAGCTAATACAAATGCCATCATATAGGAGATCAAACCAATAGGGAAATAAAATCATGATCATCATCTCATTCTCATGCCAACATCAGATTTCCCTCATCCAAAATCTATTATAAAACAAACAAACAGATGTATCAATTAAAGCAGGAAACATAAAAAATAATATCTTTCACTAAATTAATTCATAATGTAGTGAAATTATAAAGTTGAAATCTTTGTAGTATGAAAGACATCGTCGTTCTGAGTTTCAGCTTTAGAAACTGATCATTTAAGATGTGAGAAAGAAAGAGGACATACCCTAAGTTGTCGAGAGGGCGAAGAAGGTGTGGAGTGACGGCGGACCTCGTTGCAGAAATAAGAAGAAGAGTTTAGGGTTTGTGTGAACTAGGTCAAAGTAAGATGTATTTATAGCCAATTACTAGGAGCGATTGTAAACCCTAAACCTAAGGTGCCGTTTGTTTTTAGCATTAGAATGGCTGAGATTAATAATATAAGGAGATTGGCAGTGAGAGAATTAAAAAGCTGTGATTAAAAAATATATAAATAATCACACTTTAATTAGAATGTGTGATTAAAAAATATATATGTAATCACACTTACTTAAAAAGTGTGATTAAAAAGTAATAGTGTATATATAATCACACTTTAATTAAAAAGGTGTGATTAAAAAATATATAAATAATCACACTTTAATTAGAATGTGTGATTAAAAAATATATATATAATCACACTTGTTTAAAAAGTGTGATTAAAAAGTAGTAGTGTATATATAATCACACTTTTAATTAGAAGGTGTGATTAAAAAATATATCTATAATCACACTTAATTGAAAAGTGACATAAAAAACAAATATTATCACACTCAATCAAATTAAGTGTGATTAAAATATCAATCTAATTTTTTTTATCACACTTCCAATAAAAGTGAGATCTTTTTTTTTGTCAAAGTGTGGTCGTTAACTATTTTTGTAGTAGTGACTGCACTATGAAACAGAATGAGAATCCAAATTTAGAAAATCCATAGAAAATCTACTAATCACAAGAAATGTCAAAAATAGACTACATCACCATACTCAGAGTCACCACCTAATCTTTTGGAAAAAGTAGGAAGCCTATGACTCTTGCCAAAGGCCACTATTCATCACAACCAAAGTGACTCGGTTCAGAAACTTAGGTGTGAAAGGAGAAGGTTATGAATTGAGCAACCCCACTCACCTGATCAAAGATCGGCCTCTACTAATTCATGATATGACATTTATAACCAAAATATGCTCATGTTTCAATTATTAATGCTAAAATTATTATGTAAAATAAGCAAGTATAGACTGAATTACTTACTTTGAAATGCTTTTATCTCATGCATTTTAAAAGAGTTTTGAAAATGTGCAATTCAAAGAAAAATGGGTTCACATACATAGAAATCAAGATCATCCTAACTTAAGTGAGATAACCGCCATCCACCAGCAATCAAATAGCTATCTCAAATAAGCAAGTAGCCACATGGTAGAATGCTAAACATAGTAAAGAAAACACATACAATCAGGAAGCAAAGATGAAAAAAGCTCATCTAGTACTCATTCGCACCAAGCCAAGTGCAAAGGCTTAGAAAAATATGCATGATCCTATATGCAAAGAAGCTAATGCAGTATATACACAAGAATATAATTAAAGACTTGGCTACTAACATGTGAGATATGAACCATCTCAAAACATAGGGTAATACACATAATCACATAAGAGATAAAGAAAATGATAAGTAAAAATTAATGAGCCAAGTCTTAAGTATAGAGAATAGATGCAAAATATGGAAAAATGATGAATAAAAGAAAATATGATGCCGAAATATAGAAAGCTCCAAATAACAGGGATAGAAAGAGAATGGAAGAAAGAGACAAATCTACAAGTATCTATACTAAAAGAAGTAGGATGACAAGAATAATAGAGGCTAAATATACTAATAAGGCTATCAACTGAAAATGAAGAAACTATGAATAAGAAGCTAAGAAATGAAATGATGGAAAAGAAGATGAGCTAAAGTGTTCCTCTAACATAGAAATGTAAGAGAGAAGCACTAATCCTCTTAGAAATGTCATTAGAAGTTAGACATGATGAATTTATCTAAGTCATGGAAGCTTCAAATGAACATAGTGGAGAATACCAATCTCAAACACCAAAGGATGAGAGAAAGAGAAGCAAATGATGAAGATAATCAAGGAAGAGGTGGATTAGCTTAAAAAAAAAAAAGTTATCATTTAGGATGTGGGTTATCCTTTTGGCTTTTTTGCTACTTTAGCTTGGGGCTAAAAAGCTTCGTTTAGGATATGCTTTTTCACTTTTTTGACTTTTATGAGAAAAAAATAAATGATTATAGTTTGGATGTGACATTTTTTTAGGCTGGGGCTAAAAAGCTTATTTTGTCTTTTTGTGGCTATTTTAGCCTCAACCCACCGAACCCAACTTCCCAAACGAATGCCAAGTAATACATGCAATTTCATAATAATTTTGGAAGCAAAGAAATAATGACAACATAAAGAATCAAAATGAATAAAGTCTACCATTCTCCTCATGTAACAAATATAAGAAGATGAAACTTCTTTGATCATCAAAGACATAGAAAGAGCATATGATGATCATAGAAGTAGAGTAAGAAAGCAAATTAATAAGAAGTTACCTTTCTCCTCAAAAAAGGATGAGATGATAGACTTCCATGATCACAATAAATATAGAAATCCATCATGATTGTAGCACTCTGTGCTTCTTGTTATAATAGAACTATATTTGACTCTTTTATTATTTTGATTGAGAACCTTCTTAGTTGATATTTGAGCCTTGGTTGAGGTGTTACCATGGCAGTTGGCGAAGACTAAATCAGAAACTCCGAATTCGAATAATTGTTAATGAGTAGTTTTCACTCTTTCATCATCTTCTCTCTCCATCCTTTGAATCTTGATGTGAGGCTAGAAACATTGGAAAGCTTACTTCTGGGGCTTCAATTTTGGCACAAGAACGACCCTAATTGGAGTCCGGATGAGAGAGTTGTACCTATTTGAATTTTTAATTTTTATGTTGGAAGCGTGCTCGCTCGAGCAAGCTTTTCTTCGCTCGAGGGAACTACACGTTAATAGAGATTCTGGGAGCTTTTTTTCTACACCCGAGCCAAGTTTCCTTCGCTCAAGTGACCAGGACACTAACAGACATTATAAAGTGACTTTTTGGCCCAAAAACTTTATTTTTCTGCCTCTCTTCTCCTCCCATTCTCCAAACCCGAAACCCTAACCTTCAAAACTCTTGATTTCTTTTCTTTTCACCCAAGATATACCCCAAATCTTTCAAGAAGGTTGAAGACAAAGCATAGATCAAGACTTCTACCAATTGTTTTATGATTTCATTGGAGTTTCAAGTTGGGTCTTCATCTTTAGCTTCGAATCTTGAGGTAGGGATTTCTTTGCTCATTTTCATTACGACATCTATAGATAGATATGTGGTAGATTTTAGTGCATAAAAATCATATCCATTATGAATTTCTTTGAAAGTCGTGAATGGGGATCTAGGGTTTGTTATTTGTGAATGAGATTGTTAAATTGATTGTTGTTTGGTTAATTGGGGAGTAGTATAATGTGTTTATGTTAAAAAGGAGAAAAGGCCCTAATTTAATGTTTTGACTTGGTGAATTAAAAAGGGGTAAAGTTGAATAATGTTTGTAAATTGTTATTATGGTTTGTGTAAATATGTTAATAGCTAAACGGGAGAATTGACTATGGCACTGGAATTATTTTTGATTGATCATATTAAGTTGAGTTGGGTTGTGGCTTTGATACCCATGGATTTAGTTTTGTGAAATGAAAAGAATGGATTGAGGATAAAGAGTGGAGTATGTTAACATGGAAAATAAGAGAATTGATTTTTGAAATGAAAGAAGGAAATCATAACACTATGTGAATTTCAAAAATGAACTTGAGGTTGGATTATCAATATTTTATTTCACTATTGTTGTTGTTGGATTTCAAATCTCATGAGAGTTGGATTATTATAATACATGTGTTAAGTACATACATTTGGAGGTTTTGTCTTTGGTCATCGGTGGAGGATGACATTGTTGTGTTGAATAGTTTATGTGTATGCATTACACTTGTATTAGTTATAATTTGTCATGTTGTGATGATTGGTAGCGTATAATACATTGAGAATGAGAGGTACCATTGCCTTCTAGCTAGCGCCTGAAGAATTGGTTACGCTTAGAATAAGAGGTACCAGTACCTTTCAGCTAGCGCCTGGAGAACTTGGTAGAGGTACCATTACCTTCTAACCAGTGTCTGGTAAATTGGCATTTCGTTATGGAAAGGTGTATCCTTGGTTTACCGTGCTTAAGGCAGGTAGAGAAAAACTTTTTTTTCATTATTATCTCAGTGTACCTGTGTATATCATGCGTCATGATGGTTATGGTTCAAGAAGGCCGAGTTGTCTCATATGTTGAGTAGATAGTTATTGGGTGCTTATTATTTTCATTTTTCATGTTAGATGTACGTTTGTATTTTTGAACGTGTTGGAAAAGAATATAGACCATGTGTTGAGTTCATAAATAATGTGAAGGAAATCTGAGATTTATAAACATGTTTCAAACTCCAAATCAAAATGGTTGTTATGAGATATTTTTGAAAA